AAGCACGCAAAAGACTTTAAGAAGCACAAAACACCCAATTCACCCTGTTGGTATTGCGGAGACCTTCACTACGTCAAATTTTGTCCTTTCCAGAAACATAAATGCACAACATGCAATCAAGTGGGTCATAAAAATAACTTTTGCAACATCGCTAAGACTGGTAAGAATTTCAAATCATCGTCTGAAAACAACCAGAACGAATTCAAGAAATACAGCAATTCAAGGAAATCATTCAAAACTAAGGCAGTTTTCAAAACACACAACATTAATTTCCGCGACTTAAGGAAATACACAACTGTCCTAATCAACAACAATCCTGTAAAACTTCAAATTGATACTGCATCAGACATATCAATTGTATCTATCAACACATGGAAAGCTATAGGTAAGCCTGAAGCCTACGAAACTTTTGACAACGCTAGCGACGCAAACGCAAACTCAATCAAGCTCCTAGCAGAATTTCAATGTGACGTCACAATCGACAAAACATCGAAAACATTAAAATGTTATATAACAGATATAGAAAAACTCAATATCATGGGAATCGATTGGATTCAAGCATTCAATCTATGGCAGAAACCAATAACCTCATGGTGTCATCAAATAAACTTCGTTGATGAAATAGCAGAATTGAAAACGAATTATCAATCAGTTTTTGATAACAGTACCCCAGGTCTGTGCAAAACAAAAGTCAACATACAATTATTGCCAAACACAAAAGAAATATTCGTTCCCAAACGACCAGTTCCTTTCGCAGCAAGAATGGAAATTGAAACAGAACTCCTCAGATTAGAAAACGCAGGAATAATCACACCGGTAGATTCATCGAGGTACGCAGCGCCGATAGTGGTCAGCAAACGTAATGGAAAAATTCGAATATGTGCAGACTATTCAACAGGACTAAACTCAATAGTAGAACCTAATCAGTATCCATTACCAACACCGGAAGAAATCATGTCTGATTGCCACAACTGTGTAATCTTTAGTCACTTAGATCTCTCAGACGCATACTTACAAGTCGAAGTTGACGACGAAAGTAAAGAGCTTCTCACCATCAATACACACAAAGGTCTATATAAGTTCAACCGTCTAACCCCAGGTATAAAATCAGCTCCGGGAGCATTTCAAAGGATCATGGATAAGCTATGCGCAGGCATAGAAGGAGCAAAAGCATATATAGACGACATCATGTTATCAAGTCCATCTATTCCGGAACATAAATTAAATTTAAACAAGCTTTTACAAAGAATTCAAGATCACGGATTCAAGCTGAAATTTGAAAAATGCCAATTCTTTCAAAAACAAATCAAATATATAGGACACATAATAAGCAAAGATGGAATCAAACCTGACCCAATCAAAATAGCAGCCGTTCAAAATCTTAAAACACCAGAAAACGTCTCGGAAGTAAGATCGTTATTAGGCTCTATTAATCATTACGGGAAATTTGTAAACAACATGAGAACACTACGTAAACCTCTTGACGATCTACTAAAAAAGGACGCCAAGTTCGAGTGGACGTCACAGTGTCAAAAATCATTAAACGACTTTAAGAACATCTTGACATCAGATCTTCTTTTAACGCATTACAATCCAAACTTGCCTATACATGTAGCAGCCGATGCATCATCTCACGGAATCGGCGCGGTTATCTATCATATGTTTCCAGACAACACTATGAAGGCAATACATCATATTTCCAGATCACTCACACAAGCGGAAAAGAATTACAGCCAAATAGAAAAAGAAGGCCTAGCCCTTATATTCGCCGTTCAACGGTTTCACAAAATGTTATTCGGACGCAAATTTACTTTACACACCGATCACAAACCCTTACTCGCAATATTTGGTTCAAAGAAGGGAGTTCCAATTTACACAGCAAATCGTTTACAACGATGGGCCCTTATATTACTGGCTTACAACTTCGAAATTAAATACACAAACACAAAGGACTTTGGTCACGCTGATGTATTATCAAGATTAGTCAACAATCACGAAAAACCAGCAGATGACTTTATAGTGGCTTCAATATCATTCGAAGAAGACATACGTAACGAGATAAATGAAACTATGTCAGTTCTCCCAGTATCATTTAAAATGATCGTCGATGCAACAACAAAAGACACGGATTTACAAATGGTCCTCAAATACATTCAAACAGAATGGCCAGAAAGCAAGAAAAATATTAACCCATCAATTATTCAATTTTTCAACCGCAAGGAAAATCTTTCAACCTTCGATGGTTGTATTCTCTTCAATAATCGTATAGTAATTCCTAAATCATATCAGAGACAAATCTTACAACAACTTCACAGAGGACACTTATCAGCAGAACGCAGCAAAGCCATCGCCAGAAGTTATGTTTATTGGCCAAACATCGACAAACAAATTGAAGACTTTGTTCGGAAATGCAAAAATTGTCAACATGCGGCAAAAAGTCCAGTAAAAACAAATCTTTGCCCATGGCCATTAACTTCACACCCTCTTGAAAGGATACATATAGACTATGCTGGTCCAGAAAAAGGTAAATATTATCTTCTTATCATCGACTCGTATTCAAAATACCCTGTTATATACGAGACAACAACGACAACCACATATGCAACATTAAAAATGCTAAACGAATATTGTGCACTCTTCGGAAATCCTGAACAATTGGTCTCGGACAACGGAACACAGTTCTGTTCAGAACAATTTGAGAAGTGGTGCAGCAAAAAAGGCATTAAACACACAAGGACTGTTCGTTTTCATCCAAGTTCAAATGGACAAGCCGAGCGTTTCGTTGATACACTTAAACGTGCATTAAAAAAACTAGAAGGGGAAGAAACGCCTACGGAATCTCTCCAAACCTTCCTAGAAGTCTACAGATCCACACCAAATCCAAATGCACCAGAAGGTAAGTCTCCAGCAGAATCCTTCATCGGAAGAAAAATGAGAACGGTCTTCGACGTTCTAAGGAAGCAACAATCGCCTGAGTATAACGTCAATCACAAAATGGAACAGCAGTACAATACCAAACACGGTACCAAAAACAGAGAGTTTAGCAACGGAGAATTGGTCTATGCCAGAAACTTCAAAGGAAACAAAAGTTACTGGACAACAGGCGAAATAGTCGAGCGTAAAGGGAAAGTCATTTACAACACTCTAATCGACGTTGGGGACAGGAAAATTCTAGTACGAGCTCATACTGATCAACTTCGACATAGAGAATCGGTAGAGTCAAGCAGTCAAGAACGACAAAAACTACCATTGGACGTACTACTTGAAGAATTCGAAATCGCTTTGCCTAACCATCAAGAACATTTTGCAACTCCAACAGGTTCACCAAACTGGACACCTCAAAGAATAACAAGTCGCAGACAACCAGTCGAACCTATTTCAAGATCACCTTCTCATCTTAAGGAGGGAGATGTTGGGGCAACCCACATTAACAATATGGCATCTCATGTTGCAACATCCTATACGGCAACGCCCATATAATAGGACGCCGTGCTACCGCCATTTTAGCTTGCTCAGTCTTGTTTTGTCTGTCACTCGAGTCTGACTCACTACATTGTAACTTCTTCATTCCTTTCAAATTAGTAGCTGTGAACGCTCTTCATCCAATAAATCTTTACACCTTTAGTATTAACAAACATTGGCTTTTATTTCAAACTATAAAAGTACAACAATTTGTTAATTAATTTTTTCAAGGTCTCCACGAGGCCCAACACTTGGATTTTTTTTAAACTCCCTCAAGACCCGAAAACATGATTTGGCGTGAACTCTTAAAGATTTGTTTTTGAATTTTTCAAGACTTCCTCAAAGTCCAAGCCGTGGATTTTTTAGACTTCCTCAAGGCGTGAAAGCATGATTTTAAATATTTGGCGTGAACTCATCCAAGATTTTTTCTGGACTCCCTTAAGGCCTTAAGTCGTACATTTGTCCAACATTTTTTCTAGACTCTTTCAAGGCCAAAGGGTTGGATTAAGTCTACTTTGTTGATCTCAGACAATTATTTCGAAGTTTTGAAATTAAATGTACCCTCCATCTTAAAACATGTCAGGCAAAAAGATTTTGGTAAATTCACAACATATCAATTTTGTGATGAGAAATTAATAAATATGACTTAAATATCCAAAAAAAAAAAATAATTTTTTTTAATTTAATGACTGTGTCAATTTATTATTTTATTTTAAGGAAAGGAATATAACTAAATAATACAATAAATGTATGTTTATGTGTAATGAAAATACTATATAGTTTTTTTCTGGTTTTTGTAGAATTCAAAAAAATAAGGTAAAAAGGGAGAAAATGGTATTGGCATCGGCAGGCATTGCACATGTATTTTAAAAAGGACTGTAGAAAAATGAAAAAAGGAACAACTTGTTAAAAAAAATAATTTATTTAAGATATATTAACAATTTACTTCTACTACTAGTACACACACATAGAGATACAAAAAGATTTAAAAGTTTATTGATGTCTATTAAGGGATTTGTTTTCAGTTTTAATTTATTATTTATAATTTGATGTTTATCTACAGGCCTGCCAATACCTTGGGAGGGGAGAAAGTGGGGATGTTTGCAGCAATTTTAGATTGTTGCAGGGGGATAAAAACCAAGGAAAACATTTTGTGTAATTTTTCTATTTATATAGAATATTTCTTTGCTCTGTTATTATTTCATAAATATATATATAAGTAATTGTTTTTTATTTTATTATTTTCATATACATAAAACACAATACATATTTATATATTATTGTTGTTGTTTTCTGGTTTTTGCAATAGTTACACTTACTACTATACAATGCAAATAAAATTGAATTTTCTGTTCTTCTGTTTTTGTGATTTAATCGAAAAGAAAAACCGAACAACAACAGCAGCAGCTGAATAAAAGTAGTTATAATTGTTGCTAATCTTCTAAAATTGTTGTTGCTGTCTTCTTTTGTGTAGTTTGTTTTTTCTTTTATTTGTTTAAGTGTAGGAATAATAATTATAATTAATTTTAATAATAATAATAATAATAATAATAAAAACAATTTATAACAGTTTAACAAATATCATTATCGTTTCGTATAACAGTTAATTGTGTATGTATATATATACTTTTCTTTATTAAATATGTGTTTTCTTTTAATTTTCTAACATATTTTCTTATATATTTTTTTGTGTTCGTTATTTGTTTGCCTTTTTTCATAGTTTATTTTAATTTTTTTTTTAATTAATGTTTTGCTATTTTTTTCGTTTTTCTTAATTGTGTCTTATTTGGGGTTTTTGGGATTCCTTTAGCTACGACTATGACAATGGCAATGACAACGATGACTACCAAAATATTCTAGGAAATATCAAACCAAAGAGGAGTGAACTTGAAGCCTATACGCCATACTAACTGGGTACAATTAGGGATGACCTCCAAGCCGATATTCGACTTTAGATAGTATATTTAAAAGGACCTAGTAATACTATTCCAATTAAGCACACAATAACTTCTTAAAATTAACTCATAGTCTCCCAAATGTTTCGGTCCTTTATTTCCTTCCCACCCCTTCCATCATTGTCTTTTAACTAACACGGGATTGCCATGCATTCTATATATTATATATATGTATGTATATAATACCTTCATGTATTTATGATTGCTGTATGCTTTCAAAACAAAAGTTCGCCGACATCTAATAAGTAATTGATTGGATTGGATTGAATTTCTGGATTTGTTCTTTGGATTCAAAATGAATCAAAAATAAATTTCTTGGGGGATTTTTGTTTTCTTTTTTTATGTTAACAATATAAGGATTTGGTGTTTGGTTTACTCAATGGCATTTTTTCGTTTTTTTATTTTTAATTTTTATTATTTTCTTGTGTTTTCTAATTAAAGAAAGGAATTTATTTTTGTTTAAAAATTGGGTGTGGGGGGTCATTGCACCCCCAACCCAGAGGTCGTTTAAAAATATTTGCAAACAAGTTATTTTCTTTTTTTATTTAAAATTAGTTTAACATCGAAACATGAATAGGGTTCTCTTTTTTTTTTGCTTGTTTAAATAGACACATCATGCTGCTCTGCGGCTACATTATATAGTTTAAATTCAACATCTCCACAATGGCCCCCACCAACGGGCGTGGGGGTTGTGTGGTAAGATGTCCATATAATACCGTTGGGTAAATGTCTTTCGGCACCAAAACGAACGTCCCACGATTCATTCCATCACAACACTCCGCCGTCCGTCCGTTCGTTCGTTCGTTTCGTTGTCGCTTAGACATTAAAACGCGTTTCCGAACCATCGGCCAACATCAGCGTCACCGTACGATTATTGATCCACACCAGCTTGGCCAAACGCATGGGGTTGAGACGCGACACATCCGGTATTGGTGCCGTGGAATAGCCTTTGGTGCAACGGGTCTGTGATTGGCCCAAGCCAAACATACCCGTACTAGTTTGCCAGAAGGATAAACGATTTTCATTGCATGAATATGAGACCAAGTACTTGCCGTCGGGTGAAAATGCCAACGATGTGATCGGATGTGTATGGGCTGGTATCATTTGACACTTGTTCTGTCGCAGTTCGTAAATGGCCAAATGGCCATTGATGGCACCCACAGCAATTCGTCGTGTCTGGGTGCAATGTGATACCTGATTGAAACGGCATATGGCCGGGCAGACGTCGGGCAAACCGCGTGTCTTCAGCTCGGAGTTATCCAAACAGTGTAGGGTAATGTCCATTACCTCGACCAGAAGGCTGGCAATTTCGGCTTGCATTTTGTCTATCAGCATTTCGACGCACTGCAGTATTTCTCCTTTGGCCTTGAACAACACCGACTGCGTCAATGGCACATTTATTGATTGCGGATTCTGTTGCATACTATTGTAACGGGCCACCTCTCTGGCCATTGTTGTTATAAAGGCTGCAGGTCGCGCTGTGGCAATCAACCTCAGAGCATGTCTTGCTGTTCGGCAGGCATCAGCTTGTGGTGTTAGAGGGAGTTTGTAGTTGAGGTTTGGCACCGATTTGCCATCGCATGACAATTCCAACAGACCCAGTAATACTTTGCTAACATCCAAATACGGTTCCCAGACTGTGAAACCACGTCCCAGCAAATCGATTGCAGCCCGCCTTAGAGGGGTGTACTGAGGCAACTTAGGTGTGGGTGGGGCATACAAGAGATGGGCCAATGCCATTGATGTGAGACGTGCCAAATTATTGGCTATACCAAAACCTTCAACCACCGACGATTTTCTCCTCTCGCCGCTGATGGTAGTAATACTGGTGCCACGAACAGGTGAATCCTGATTTATGTCCTGACCAAACTCAGCTCCAATCACACCCAATAATATCACAGCAGTGGTCTGTTTACGCTTTAGCTCCGATAAACTGGACGGCTTGCGTATTATCTCCTCCTCCTCTTCTTCGTAGTCTTCACCGCCATCTAGCCCATCACCATTGTGACCCATGCCACCAGCATTGCCCAGAGATGAATTGGAATGACCGTTGGCTCCGTTGGCGGCATGATGAACTTGTTGGGCGATGGGTTCTGTGTGCGTATACATTGGCAGATATTGAGCCCAGCTCTCTACCAGCTGCTTACGCACACGTTTGCCCATGCGCCTCAACTCGCCGAGTAAAATCTGTTGAGCTGCCTCTCGTATTTCAATGCAGTGGTGCTGCCAACGTTTCGCCATCATTTCCACCTGGGGCCGTTTGAATTTCTTTGGTTCTAAAGCTTCAATTTTATCCGGCAACAAAAAGCAATGATGTGTGGACAACAGACTCCAGCCCTGTTTGATTTGTGAAATGTGATGGGCCAGCAGTTCTTCACGTTCCTCTTCCGTGGCCATTTGCGACTCGGAACGTTGGGCCAGGCGCAATAGTTTTTTACTGCGCTCGCTGTCGGGCAGAAAGGAGGCCGAATTCATGGATAACAAAGTATTGGACATGGCCACCAAGGCCAAAATGTGATTAGAGGTAAGGGTGGTGCTCAATTCCCAGTGCAGACGGGAGGTGAATACGGCTGTAAGCTGTTCTTGACGCAGCAATTCGGCTGGAATGTCACGCTTTTTAGAGCTGCTTGCAACCACAATTCCCTCGCCTAGTTCGAAGTTGTTCTGCCAAGTGGGCAGTAGTAGGGACATGTAGCCTCCCTTGGAGAGAATACCAAAGGAGACGGGTACCATGGGTCGCAATAGACCCAATTGTGACTCACAAACTTTATCCAAATGGGTATCCAAGCCCCAAGAGTGCAGCAGGGACAGTAGCAGTTGAGCTACTTCCATGACGTGTGTAACTTCCATTTTTGAGGCCATTTTGGATTTCAAATCGGTCGAACCATCTTCGGGTATGTCCTGGGGTTCGAGCACCTTCTGTATGCTTTCCTGGACTTTGGCTTGAACCTTCTTCTCCACAATTTCTGTTTTTTCTTTGAATTTCTGGACCAAACCATGTTTGTCTTTGTCCTTCAGCATTTTCTCCATATCGCCTGCTTTGTTCTTTACCTTGCCAAAGAAATCGCTAATCTTTTTGGAGGCCTCCACATGCAGGGCCTTGTCTTTGGGATTGTTAATTATTACGCCCAAAGTCTCTAGTTCGGCTGGGGTCATTTTAGCATATTCCTCGCTATGGAGCTCGAAAATCAGGCCCTCTATGTCGAAGAATAAAATGTGGCTTTCTGCATCCTTGGGATTGGTACGCAGACCCTGGATTATCAGCGGGTTGCTGCGGTGTTTCATGAGAAAATCAAAGTTACCCTGATTGTGACCGTGTAGCTGCTGCCATTGCGTTATACCGCGTTGCGTTGCATGCCTAATGGCGTTCATATTGCGTGACTTGAGACCCCGGAAAAAGTGTACAGCCGGATTGGCCAAACCCTCTGTATTGGAGGCGTGTGAATTGCAGCCCGATTCATCGGCATTTTGCTCGTCACAAACCGCCAATACCTCCTCGGCTAACATGCCGTGCAAAACGCGATCCAGGTGGCCAGTTTCCATTTGCCAAACATATACCGAACCATCTGAGCAGCCAACAATGAGGAAATCGTCCAATGGTCGCCATTTGATGGTTACCACTGGAAACAAATGGCGACTGGCTAGTGTAATGCATTTGCGTTCCTGCAAGCTGAGCAAGGTGACCGAATGATCGGAGGCCACCGAGCAAATGCATTTCAATATACGTGGACTACACGTTTCAGGGGGCACCAATAGCTGCGTAATTTCTCCCGCGTGTACACAAAAGCGATGCAATAGACTGCCACTGTACAGATCCCAAAGACAAACGGCGAAATCCACACCTCCCGAAAGCAACAGAGACTTTTCGTAGCGGGGATGCACCAGGGAGGGGCACAGCAGACAATTGACCCGACCTCGGTGGCCATACAATATCTGATGTGAGGGCCATTCGCTGAAGTTCTGTTTGATGCCCACCAATAGCTGCATCATTACAGTCTGGGTGGCCGGAACAATGACTATCGAACCATCCTCCCGGCCAATGACCAGACGACTTTGTTGGGGCAAATAAATGCTGGATGTTAATTTCACTGGATGATCGGTGATACGGGCCAATTGATCCAAAATACCAACTGGCGGTGGATCCATCAAGGACCAGGCCTCAATGAGAGACGTACATACCGACGGCTTCAATGTACGAGGAGGCATTTGCTTTGCTTGTAAAATACTTATATTATCCAGAGGAACATCCGGCACGGTCCACACAGAAATGAACCCCTCTGAATCACCACGCAGCAGGCAATGTGAGACTGGTTTTCCTTCGGGTTCACTGCGTATCAGTCTCATGGCTGGTGGACACGATAACACCTTGTCGCCAGGATGCTGCAACACATAGTACAGGTATGGGGCATCCCGCACCACACTCTTCGAGTGGAACTCCTTATTGTCAGGTATACAATTTGCAGGTAATTTATACAAGTAACCTTTGCCCTCATCGGTCCAAAGCATTACACGATCCGAACTAATGAAATCACCGCCCTGCCATCGTTCTCGTGTAGGTGCAATGACCGAGCAAAGTACTGTAAAATCACCGGCATCATAGATCTGCCAATACTTGGTGCAAACAATCAGCACCGTTCGTTGATTCTGTGAACAACAGTTCATGGTGATGGCATTGAGGCAGCGGATCTCCTTCGATTCATTCTCATAGATGGGTTCGGCATGTTTGTTCTCATTGCCCACCAGTGTCCAGACCTTTACAGTTCCGGTCGTTGTAATGGCCAGCACCACATCGTCTTTACGCCGCATTGGTCTCAAAACATGCAATGCCGATATCCAATCGGGCTTAACTTTCGAACTCAGCGTATATATCACTTCCAGGCTAATGGGATCCATTACCATTATTTCGGGATAATAACCAATACAGAAGAGATGCAAATCAGCACTGTTCGCCGTGTGATAACTTTGGATTTGTGTATGAACCTGAGGTAATTTCACCGATTCCATGCACTTGCCATCGGTCATATCCCATGTGCACATTTCGCCATTTTCCGAGGAGCTTACCAAAAAGTTGCTGTCTGTCATAATGGATGCCCGTACCAGGCATAGAACCGGTGCCGTGTGACCCACCAGGAGGCAGCGCGGTGACATTTTCAGGGTACCCGGTTCGACGTGCCACAAACAGATTTGTCCATCGTAGCAGCCAGTTGCCAATGTGGTTTGATCATCAGACAAATAAACACTGGACACACAATGAGTGGGGGCCGATGGCCCCCACAGCACAACGGGCACCACTAGATTGGTGCTAACCATATTTCAATTGCCTTCTAAGGGCTTAATCTGCAGGTGGATCGAAATGGTAGTAGAGATGAGAAAAGTAAATCAAGCGTTGCCAATGCAAATTAGGTCGTGGTGGTGGGGTAGGATGCGATGTTTTCAACAGCAAATGGTATTTTTTCATTTCGAAACGTGACAGTAAACGACGTCACCACACAAAACGTTAGCGTAGCGTCCATATCAAAGAAAAGAAACAAATAACGAAATATTCCATAAGATAAAATACTCAAAGTTCTCAGTCATCACTCACACGCACGCAGCACCCATACAAATCAAACGAAGAAGAAGAAGATGACGACGACGACCAGGCACAAGACCTTATAAAAGGGTTTTGTAACCAAAAAAAAAAAAAAATGAATGAAATGAAAAAAAGTGTGTGTTGTTCTTTTTTATGCTGCCAGCTAAAGTTTGATTTTTATGCAACCTCAATAAACTTTTGATAATGGAACAGAACCAAAGCCTTAATAATGTGATCGTATTTTGGCCATTTTCGGATCACAACCCGACCACAATAATAAAAAAATAATCGTAATGTGTTTGTTAGTTGTGTGATACGGTCAAGATTAATGGAATATGTCAATAAAAACGACGAAGCGTTTGATACGTTTTGTAAACATGAAATTCATTGAATTCACTTCGTACAGCAACAAACATTTGCTGATTCAATTACGTATTCAGCGGAGCTGATTCCGGGCAAATTTAAATTAAACGAAAGTTATGTGTGCTAGGGTAATCGGTGTTTATACCCTACACCACAAGGTGGTCAGGGTATTATGTATTTGTGCATTTGTTTGTAACAGGCAAAAGGAAACGAGATAGACTCATACCTCCTCTTGATGATCTGCATAGAATCACATTCTGAGTCGATTTATGCATGTCCGTCCGTCTGTCCGTCCGTCCGTCCGTCCGTCTGTCCATGTATTTTTGTAAACAAAGTACAATTCGCATTTATTGCCCTATCCACATGAAATTTTGCACAAGTCATTTGTTTGGTCCAAGGACGAACCCTATTGAAATTGGAGATAATCGGTCAAAATTTAGATATAGCTCCCATACATATCTTCGTCCGATTTGCCTTGTATTGTGCACCAAACGTGTAATATCAATCCGAATAGTATGGAATTTTGCAAGTACGATCAGATTGGACCTGAAAATAAGTATGCCAAATTTGATCGAAATCGGTTCAGATATAGCTATAGCTCCCATATATATTGTTCCTCCGATTTGCTATTTTTTTCGTCAGCAGCCGTAATATGCACCCTGTAACAACAATATTTTGGGAAATATATCAAAAACATCTCAGAAACACATTTGCTAAATTTTATCAAGATCGGTTCAGATTTGGATATAGCTCCCATATATAACTTCGTCCGATTTACCTTTGATTGTGCACCAAACGACCGAATTGAGTCTAGAAGTTAGTATGTCAAATTTGGTGAAGATCGGTTCAGACATAGCTATAGCTCCCATATATACTGTTCAACCGATTTGTCATATTTGTTACCCACAGCCGTAATATGCACTCCGTAACAACGATATTCAGGCAAATATATCAAATACAGCACAGAAATATCTTTGCCAAATTTTATCGAGATCGGTTCCGATTTGCATACAGCTCCCATATATATATTTTTATCCGATTTCAAATTAATTGTGCACCAAATGGGCAATACAAGTCCGAATTTAAAAAATACAAATGCTTTGGCATATTTAGTCCTTTGAACTTTAAATTATAATTATAATCAATGCGTGTATAATTGTGTATGTGTATGAGCTCTACTAAATTAGCAAAGTGGTGTAGGGTATAATAAAGTCGGCCCGCCCGACTTTAAGACTTTCTTTACTGGTTTTTGAATAGAATATTTATATTTTTTAAAAGTTTTCAATTCTAACATCAAAGAAGATAATCAAAGATTAATGTGCAACACTTCATTTTGAAATTCTTTGAGATGGGGAAAAAAGCCTTATTCCAAATATGTTGAAAGACAACAGAGAAGATACCCTCTTTTACAAAGTACAAGCAAAAAGTAGGAGCCATAGAAATAATTGTACCAATTGATTTTCAACAATTTTGACATGATTGCTTCCATGTTAAATTCCAACGTAAAGTCCAAAATCCAAGCCTTTTGGGATGATATTTCAAAATTTAGTAAAATCTGGCAAAAATATATGTGGGAGCTATATTTACATATGGGTCGATTGTCACAAATTTCAATAGGGTTCGTACTTGGGCCAAAGAAATTAATTGTATAAAATTTTATATCATTCTCACAAAAATGCAATCTCACTGTGACTGCAACATGCTTACTTTTTTATTTATTTATATTCAATTAATTATTTATATTCAAATAACACAGTTACCTAGACCCTAGGGCCATGGACGGTTCCAAAAACTTCTATACATAACTACTCTAAAGAAAAAAAAAATGTGTAAATCAACCCGAGAATGTGATTTTATGGAGATCATTAAAGAAAGCATGGGTCTATTCCTATACTTTTTGCACTGTACAAACATATAATGTGCACATTTTCTTTCACATTTTCCAAACATTTACACATATATCCCATATAAAGTATCAAAAGTAGTCGTTATAGACCGAATTTGGTACGTTGTAATATTTTTTATCAGTCTTAGGTCAAATACGTTAGGTGAATATTGTCAACTGATTCAGAATCTCCCCCATAAAGGATCAACAGTTTGAATGATCATAACTCAAGGCTGGGTGAGATAAAAAAACTGCAACTAACTTCAGACTGCTGTCATTTCTAAGTCACTCGTCCGACATATGTTAAAAGTATTCCAGTGACAGCTCATTATATTGTTTACAAGCGTACAAAAGCATTTTCGTGAGAATTTTCCGTTTTGACTGGAAAACCAAAAGTGACTATCGTTACAGCACTCCAGCATTTAAATGTGAATAAATCTTTTGTGTCTCGTACCATCGCTTGTTACTGTGATACTGGCCCGACGTCAAGGAAGTGGACGGAAGAAAACAGCAACATCATCAGAAATGGTTTGAAAAGTAAAGAAGCGACTTGATCGGAACCCGCGTGGCAGTGGCCGAAAAATGGCTCGTGAGCTGAACATATCGTAATATTCCATTCGGCAAATATTGAAAAATGAGCTCGGGGTAAAGCCATTGAAATTCCAAAAAGTGCAAGAAATTACACTGTAACAGAAAAAATAGGCTCGAAAGAGCTAAAGAGTTGCTTCGGTTAGCAGAATTTTTGGTTTTCTCCGCTGATAAAACATTCGTTGTGCAGCAGTTAGTAAACAAACAAAATGATCGTGTTTACTTGCCAAAGAGGTCAGCTGAAAATGTGCACCTTCGGTTGGCCACGAGAACCCAAGCGCCGCACTATGGGTAAAAAGCATGATTTTTTGGCATAAAGTCATTTTTTTTTGGTTTCATATTTTGAAATTTAACTGATTTCCTAAATGTAGATACCCATAATAGAAAAAAAAATGTTTAATATCAATACGGGTGGCAACCCTTTTTTGCTGGCGAGCTTTTAAAGTCAGCTGTTTGAAACTCACTTTGCTTTGGTACAACTGGCGGTAAAGATCAGCTAAGTTCAAGTGCTTCTGATTTGACAAAATTGAAAAAAATAAAATGTGTAATTATGGAAAACGTTAGTGCAGGTATGTAAAATTAAGACGAGGTGCCCTTTTTGTCATAATTGTCTGTTGTTGTAGTACTGTGAATTGTTTCGTTTATGTATAGCTTTATATAAAATCTATAAATTGTAGTTGTGTCCCGTGGAGTGTAACTTGTGAATGGCAAAGCATTGCAAAAAGGTATAAATGCCAAGTTATTAACAAAAGTGTGTTAATTAATGAGTAACTAGCCTTTTTTGTTCTATTTTGTGCCAACACGTGTTTTGCAGATAAACATGTGTTTGTCCATGCAGCGCTCATTAAAATTTGGAGAAGCAACAATCGCTCAGAAGATGCACTTGTGAAATATGTGTTACAGAATATCAATAATATCAGTTTAAATGAAGACCAAATGCGTTTGATATCAAAACAAGTGAAAGATTTTGTTAATTATATAAAAAACATTTGCCAAAGTGCATCCGTAAACTAGAGCGATTTAAAACTAAACATTCAAAATGGCTTAGCAAAAGTATAATTATTGTAATGAATGAGCAGTATGTTTCTCCAAATCATCATAGCCGATCGGCCAGATCGGCTATATAGCAGCTACATGAAATAGTGCCCCAAATCATATGAAAATTCGTAGGTCATCTTGGGGGCATAAAAATGAATACAAATCAAATTTCACTTCAACAGCTTCATAAATAAAAAAGGTGGGTCAAATCGGCCAAATCGGCTATATAGCAGCTATATGAAATAGTGCCCCAAATCATATGAAAATTCGTAAGTCATCTTTGGGGTATAAAAAATTAATACAAACCAAATTTCACTTCAATAGCTTCATAAACAAAAAAGTTGGGTCAAATCGGCCAGATCGGCTATATAGCAGCTATATGAAATAGTGCCCCAAATCATATGAAAATTGGTAGGTCATCTTGGAAGCATAAAAAATGCATATAAACCAAATTTCAATTCAATAGCTTTGAAATTAGAGTTTATGCCAAAATAAACGTAAAAAAACCCATAGTGCGCCGGCCATGGTGTTGGTGTGGGCCGCTCTAACTCTCCTCTCGTATTAATCGACCGTGGCATCAGAATAAATGCCAAATATTATCACGAAAATATTCTGGAGGGTGCATTATGGCTTGGGCACGCAAACATTTGGCCCCAGACCTTGGACGTTCCAACAGGATTCAGCACCATACCACGCGCCACCCAAGAAAGGTTGCAAAAAGAGGTTCCTCGCTTTCCAGCGCACAATGACCACCGAAATCTCCGAAAACCAATTCGTTGGACTATTGTGTTTGGAGTATTTGGAAAGCAAGGTTGACACAAAAAAATACCAAAGTGTCGATCACCTCAAGCAAGAGCTTCGCCGGGAATGGGCCAAAATACCGCAGAGCAA